CGTGGTCATATTCGGTTTGTACATTGGGAAAGTACTCCGCAAGGGGGTATTTGAGCCTTACAACGGCGACAGATGGTTTCTTATCCTGTTGCTGCTCCCCGTTGTTCTGCCGAGTGCCGTTGAACCTCTGCCTCTACGACTGCAATTGCCACTTCTCGCAGCCAAGGCGGCGATATTGTCCCCATTGAGCTACATCTCGAAGATTTGCGCCACGATCAGCGACAGTGCTGACACCATATATTTGGATGATGAATGGGGCGCATGGAATCGGCTGTCCTGGTTCCTGCTGCAAGGCAAGCACGTGGTCCAACGATGCGAGCCAAGGTTGGAGGGGCTGACGGAAAGATGCGAACATTGGCACACGCTTAATTATATGGCCGCCCTTGCTGTTGGATGTTTTTCTTGTGGTCCATGAATGTTATCTCGCGGGAAGTGTTTCTGAGGACCAAGGACTGCTCAGAAGAGGTCCACGAAATGCGGCAGGGTGCGCTTCAGGTGTTGAGCGCCTTCCCAGTGCTCCTCTTTCTCCTGTGCACTGTCCTGTGGCAGTTGCTTCTCAAGGTGTATGCATGCCAGGGCAGCAGGGCACTTGAATGCACATCAGTAGGTTAGGCATTGGGGACAATTCAACTGATGCTGTGCCCAAGCCTTGTGTTATACTCCATTTGGCATGCCTGCCTGCACCGTGTGGGCAATGATGTTGCCAGCAGTTTACATCGCAAGCAACAAATTGCCCTGGGGCTATAAGAAGTGGATGGCCCTTGGAAGTGCTGTAGGAGACAGCGAAAAGGGGGAATGGGCTCGAATATGGAAATGGTATATAGAAAACTACACAAAACTTGCATTCTTTCTGTCAGAGCTTGCTAGCAGTTGCTAATCTTGGAAGGAAACGACCAGCGGGGCAGTGATGTTGACATCAGTCAAGTGAGGTTGATTCTTTCAGCACAAATCTCCCCTCTGTATTTACTGCAACAAAGGATCATGGGGGCATCGAGGAACAGGAGTCAACTACAAATGAGGGAGACTTGAACAATGGCATGTTGGCTTCATAGATGCCAGTTGTTTTGATCTGGATGCAGGTGTCAAGGTGCATGGGACCAGTGGTATGCTCTGCAATTCTTCTAAATTTGGTTGGGAAGATGTGGAGCTCATCTATGATGGATGCAGATGTGGACGATGGCAAAATCTCGTGAACTACACCAGATCATCCATGCATTGTGGTTAGGTCAATCCCAATAGTGCACTATGTTGGCTGCAGTCTATGCCATGCATTGTTCAGAGCACAACTATTCAAGCAACTGGCCATGCGCAGCTATTGTGCACACAATGGTAGTTCTGTTCTGGGCATGTCCATGGACTCTGCAGCAATTGTATCAGGATTCTTCCACATGGTCAATGCTCCTGGATCATTGCCCACACAAGACATGAAGGCTAAATGAGGAAGGCCGTCAGCCAGGAGGGAGAAAAGGCCATGTCTGAATGTGGGGAGCATTGTGCTCGAAGCCATGTCATAACCAAGAGGCAGGCTGTGAGGAGTACAGTGCCATGTCTGAAGGCGATTAGCACTACGGGGGTGATTAGCACATCACAGGACATGTCCAGATTTACTATCTCTAAGTAAGGAATTCTGGATGGGGGACTGACGCATGTCAGCAAATACGAGGGGCCAAAAGCGGATGTGGCTGTGGGCTTCGTATCTGGGGCGGACAGCAGCAGTGGGTATGGCCATGCGAGGACCGCCGCTGCTGTGCCAGGTGGCATTCACGGCTGCGAGATGCATGCCATGGCGTGGTTATCAAGAGTGATGACGATTGACTCGACTTTCGTTGACTTTGACCCACGCACACACCCCCGACTGCACGGATCGGTGACCATCAGCGCCTACAACAGCTACATCGCCTCACTCTGGCTTTCAAGGCTGCGAATGTAGGCCCCAGAAGTGCAAGGCGCAAGGCGGATCGAAGGACAGCGCCGAGTTCACAACAGAAGCATGCCCTCCTGCAAGCCAGGTAAAAGTGGCGACGCAACAGTAGCGGGTCTCCGAGGCATCGGTGCGATGGCCTGACGGTGCTGGACAGCAGGGGTCGGCGGGCGGCGGGGTTGAGAGGGGCCGTTGAGGGCCGATCATATTCGCACTTTTTCTTGTCTTGTAATGTATGCGCGTTTCAAATTTAAAGTCCGGCAATGGGCCGTCTGGATGGGAGCATTCTCTTCCTATTTTGCCACTCTGTCGTAAGCCGTTTGACAACATGTGTGCATGTGAGTTACGACGATCTGCGATGGATAGAAAATGTTGTAAAGAACCTTGCTGTGAAACAACTACTGCATTTGGGACACCGTTGCCCTTTAGCAGGCTTGTTGTTTACGCAAAAGTATGCGCATATTGACATGTGTTTACGGTAAATATATTTTTACAATTTACGTGTAAAATAAACGCAAAGATGGGTCATATACACTCACAATCTGGGCCGGCTTTTCTTTCCTGGTTGACTATTGCCCTCGCTCACCATGTGGCATAGGGGAGTGTTTGAGCCAGCCGCCAATCACTTTACGGACGTGAAAGGCTTAAAGGCCACCTGCTCATACTGCGGCCTAGTTGTGGGGGGCGGCGTGGTGGGCATAAGGCAGTCCAGGAAGTGGCAGCCAGACGCGCTAGAGTGGGTAGAGGACGACCATTTGTTCGATGGAGTCGTTGCCCCTTCTAAGGGCGACGTGAATGCCGCGTTGTGGGTGCTCCGGGGACTAATCATGGACTATGGATCATGTGGACTAACCACTTGCCTGCGACTTTTATAACATGGGTGTGCTGACGCAACGTAAATATGCATGTTTTCGGAAAACGGCCCAAATTGCCAATGCCCACTCCGCAAATCGATGTGGGCCAAAAGCCCCTCAGTACCGCGCTTCCTGACGTCAAAGAGTGAGGCCACTGCTCCTGTTGTTTCCCACCAAGCATATGCCGGTCGAACCCGGCCGACACAGCCCGTGCCTTCGCTATGCCCAGAGCGGTCTGGCAGGCGGCGGGATTAGAGTTCCGGGACGTCAGACTGGAGAATGAGTTCGAGCGCGCCAGGGCGCTCAAAAACTTCCTGACGTGGCCGGTGGTGCTGCTGCTCCAGTGGGCCATCGCCGCCGTGCTATTGTGGAAGCACGAGGACAGATGGCTGTGGATCCGAGCCGTGACGTCATGTGGCGTGGAAACCTTTTACGTACCGGTGCGAGGGTTGCGTCGGCTGCGGACACCTATGAGCTGGAGATTATGCGGGGACTGGGCGGACTCTATTTGGATGCCCATTGCTTGCCTGTTCGGTGTCGTTGCTTTTTTGTTTATTGCGAGGGTGACCGGTGAAGAGCTCCATGCGGGGCCTGGAACGAGCGGGGATTGGCTCTTTTGGTTGTTTGGGCTGGGTATTTTTTTGCCCATTGCTGTCTCGCCCCTTCCGGTCAGGCTACTACTGCCGCTTATGGTTGCCAAGGTAGCCGTGCTGTTCCCCTACAACGATATAGAGAAGCACTGCCATCCCGACAACAGCATTTATCACCCATGGGGAAGGGATGCTCATTGGGTGTTCTGGAATAGGTTGTCCTGGTTCCTTCTGCAAGGCAAACATGTGTTACCAGCGCAGAGCGAACCCAGGTTAGAGGGGCAGCAGGCAAGGTGCGAGCATGCACACATGTTCTTTTATTGGGCAATTGTAGCTATCGCTTTCACTTTTCTTTGGTCAGCAGAGGTTTGCTCACGGCATGCATTTATGGATCAAAGGAAGCGCGTAGAGGAGGTATGCGTGAGGCAGTGGGATGTGTTTCTGTCCCGGAAGGCTCCAGTTGTGCTGGCCCTTTTCCTCCCCACTGTCCTGTGGCAGTTTCTTCTTAGAATGCACATAGGTCGGGACAACAGAATGGCCATTGACAAGTCGGACGCCTCAGGAGACTCATCAGATGGGGCGGAATTTTCTACCAGCAGATGAATGTCATTGAAGATTTTTTGCACTGTACCTTGACCACAGTGTTGCAGGCATTCCGCTGATTGTTCCACCTGGCACACCAGGTGCTGGCATTGGCAACGGGCGAGCAGTCCTTGGGTAGGCCCTTGCAGTACTGCTGGGGATCTAGGAGACAGGCAGTTGGTACTGTGGTGATGGGACTTGCTTGAAAAAGGTAAATAACAGATAATCAAACCTTATCGAACGTCGAGTTCAAATCTTGAATGATAGCAGCAGATTTTGCGCAGAATGAATATGAAGGGATGTTTTAGAGTGGTTTTGACATTGGTCAAGTTGGGATTGATGGTGCTGGAGAATGTCATTTGAACACCATCTGCAGTCAAGTTCCAAGCATGTAGCCCAATGTTTCTTCTGCACAGATGGTGACCACATATGTGCACAGTGTATGATGACAGTGGGTGCTGCCTCCAAACAAGGGATTTTGTGCCACCACATTGGGTTCCTTGTTTGTCGTTGGCTTGTCTCTTAAAACACAGATGGCAAACTCCATTGGCCCAGCACCAATCGCATATGCTTTCGGCAGTGAATTGCTGTTTGAAGATGTGTTTGTCATTCTGTTTTGAATTCCCAATGGCCGGAGGCAGGAGTCCACACACAAGTGATCATCACAAATGCACAAGTTCTTGTTCAGGACTGATGTGCCTGGCATCCTGTTGTGTGTGTGGGCACCCTTGTGAATGCTGTCCACTTCGTGGGCTCCAGGTGATTGGCATGGTGATACAACCTGAAAGGAATGACAAGATGGTTGTGCATGACTGACATGCTGATTCAGGGATGGCCATCATTGTCCAGCAGCCACACCAGCACCTCTATGTTAGACATGTTCTGGACTGGAAATCATCAAGTACAATGGCTTGTAGAAGTTGCCATCCTCCACTTGACGGGCCAAGGGAGGCTGCAGTGTGCATTGCATCCAAACAGGAGATCACACTGTGCATTTTGAAACTCACCAGCCTCTGTACAATGCCATGAGTTGTCAGCCCTTTGCAACACAGTTTATGGGTTTTCCCAGAATTGACATCTGTTCTCAAGATTCAACCTGAGATCCATTGAAGAATTCTTTACAAATGCTGTGCAGCGATATGCACAGCAGGCACTTTCATTGACCATGAAAGGTATTTTGCTGGGACATTCAAAGGGTTGATGGCTCTTATGTGGGTTGATGTTGGCCCCTGTTTTACACATAGTGCTGTGCACTGTAGACTGAACAGCACCCATCGATAAGGGCTGACCCACACAGCCTAATGGATTCCCTTCTGCCACCTTCAGTCGACAATGACTCCACACATCAATATACCATAACCACCTGGACATCTCTGCCAAAACCAGCTGCCAAGCCACTACACGTGTCAGGCAGAGAATCCCATTGTTTCCCACATCTGCCAACTGAGCCTCTGTGTCCTGCAGGCCTGAGTCTCTCAGTGCTCCCAGCGATGCCAAATCTCGGGTATGCTGCACGCAACTTGTCGAGATGCTAATCGATAGACGATGGACATTCCTTAGTGCCTCTGCCAGGGCTTCGTTGCTCTGTGCATGCAGCGGACAATGTTGGAAACGATGGCACTGCTGACCATTTCTGACAAAAGGCCCTAACTGCAATCTCGTCCTCCAGTCCCATCACACGATCAAGCTTCTTTGCTTCAATTCCCAACTGCCTTGGCGTCTGTGTCTCAATATTTTAGCACATCACCACAAAAGAATAGCAGTTATTCATGAGCTGCCGGCACTCAGCGGATCAACACATCCCAAGAAAAGCACTTTTGCAAAAGTGGCTTCCGCCCCACTTAAAGCTCTGCCACTCTACGGTTCTCTCCCATGTCCGCCCACCAGATACAGCGATTTTGACCCTGGCCTAGAAAGGCGGCGTCGGTTTGGCGAGGACTGGAACGCCCAGTGATGTTTGGTCAGATCACCGGCCAGCGTCGCGCGAACTCACTGGACACCTCAGCCAACGTCATCCACCGCTATTGCATCCTGAACTCGATTGACGAGCCAGCATGAAATGGCTGGAGACCTTCTCCAGCCCCAGGACAAGATCCCTAGACAAGGTCACAGCCCCATTGTGGTTCGCCGGCGTTGGCTTCGAAGCCGCTGGGAGGCCGAAATTCTGTGGTTCAAATTGCTGGCGGTCAACGTTCTGGTGGTCAAAGTCAAAGCACGGGTGGCCCAGCGGCTCAAGTTTTCACTGGCGTGATCGGCGGGGCGCACCTCATCTACGCGGCCACCTGCAGGCGCCTGCGCCTAGGTGGTGGTCGCTGGTCATGCACTGCGCCTTCGCAGGGAGGTCCTCACAGTAACTGTGGGTGGGGGTTGGCCTTGTGTCGCAGTATTTTTGGCCGTTATCCCCCTTTCCCAATCCTTTTGGCTTGGGTACAGGTGACCGAATGGGATGATCGACTGGGCGCTACGACAACCGGTACTGGGCCAGTGACCTGGATCTGGCAAATACGGATGCCATCTTATAAAAATAGCCAAACTAGCGCCCGTTGAGGCGTTGGCTGGCATAAAGACTACAGTAGGGGTCCCCATATAACGCACCCCAATAGCGGCCCCCTTAGGCTTGTCACCATTTCTGTAGCACTTTATGCAGCTTCGCTGTGGAGTGGGACCTCATACTGTATTGTGGACACCCAAGAGAGGTGTCCGGTGGACGGACGCTGCGGCGGCCGACCGTTTCCGCGGACTTGGCATACCGCCGACGGGCGGACGACACGTCTGGTGCTGGGCCGTTGACCATAGAATGGGCAGCGCGGCGCTGCGCAGGATCGCCTTAGTCGGCGTGTGTGGGTGGTGCAAGGTGCACAAGGTGGTGCTTTGCGGCGCCGCCTCACGGTGGGGGCGTGGGTGGCGGCATACAATTTGCTTGGTTGGTTGCCGCTGCGCCTCAACTGTTGTGTTAACATGGGGGGAACGCTGGATAACGCTGGGGTACTCCATCCACAACGTCCCCCACGTTGCGGATATTTGCATAAATGCTCGACGCGCGGGCCGTAATCCCCTGTTCTCTACGGTATGATGCGCCCATGTCTGGTTGGGTGCAATCCGCATTCATAATGCGGGCAATGCTGCGCAAAGTCCACACGATGAGTTGTGACAGGCACCGTGTAGCATCAATGCAAGCTTAAAACACGGTGTTCCACTACTGTAACACGATGGCACATGGTACACGCGTGTGATGGGTCAATTTGGCATCTCAACAGGCCGTTACCCGGCTAACGGGTCTATTTTGCGTCTTCTTATGATGGGTAGTGTTGTTTTATGACTAGAACTACAGTAAAATGCAATAAACATATAATTTTTTAGCACCTCAGGCCCCCTCAATAGCGCCCCCTTTTGGCCATGTCACGGAGGGGCGCTATATAGGGACCCCTCTTATATTGGTCTTCATGCTCACTGAATTGCCACAGGTGAGGCGTCTGGCGTGAGAACGGGCACCTAGCCGGTATGAGCCCTGTCAATATGGGGATGTAATCAACAGGGCACCCATTCAACATGGACAATCGTTCGATATGGGAATCCAATCCCCACAATTTCACCCACGGAAAATGCTACGTCTGACTACACCACGCAGCGGCATAGCACCTAGGAATTATCAAGACGGAGTCCACGGCCACTTGGCTGGAACTTGACCTTTTTGTCCACCTGATTGGAGAAGATAGGTTCTGCTCGCCTCCCTCGGCGCTTCAAGGCAGTCATGTTGGGAAGAGGGTCAAAGAGGGTCGCTCTCCAGTGGCCAGTGCGCGTCGCTGTCCAGCGACCATCCGCGGGCAGCGGCGAGAGGACCAACTCGATCTAGGGAACGGCACCAAAAACGGTACCGCCAGCGGCACATCGCCAGTTCTTGTCGTGATTCGAGGCAACGAGGCCACGGCCCCACCCGCCACCCTCTGTAGGTGCGCTCGGCAGCATCAACAATGGACGCACAGCTATTTGAAAGAGCAATTTTCCAGTACGGAACTCTTGGTCGGGATCCTTGCGAGGATCGTGGGGGAGTGTAATTGCGGCATTGGTCGTCGGGGTGTGGTGGTTTTGCCGGATGCCCAAGTGGCTACTATGCAGCTGCCACACCTTCGTAGCATCTCAGCCAGGCCGTTGTCCCCGGAGACGCCCCCCGGGCACGCAAAATGTGACAGCGAGATGCAGCCTGGGCCCAATGCGGGACTGCTTTGTGGCATGCGGCCTCTGTACCGTGATTGACGAGGCTCGGAGCAGTCAAGTGTTCGGGTGTGCGCGTGCTGCGCACAGGAGTTGCGAGGGACGTTTCTTGAATGTGTCGTTGACGATGTTTGGATGGTGCTTGAGTACCATTTCAAGATTTGTTGCTGAGAAAATGCCTTGGACAGTGCTAAATTCGCTGGCAATGCTGCACAGAAAGGGCAACCTCACTCTGCACATCCGGGACGTTCACAGAGTAAAGGGACGCATTGTGTCCAGGTTTGGGAAGGTGTTTATGGATCAAGTTCGGGGCGCCCTGGAGAGGGCTGAGTGAAAGGTGTCTGGTGAGGGAGGGGCGGCTGCTGGCTCGGGCCATCAGGACATGGATTCCATCGCAGTGGCTGAGCTTGAGCATCTGCGAAATCGAGATGATGTTGATGAAGCTGCGCGTGAATCATTGCTCTCAGAGGTCAGTAAGCTGGTTGAGAAGGGGATGCAAATGCCATCACCATGAGGGCAGGATGCGGAGGGCCGTAGGTAGGGGCAGCCTGGAGATGGCGGGGCAGTATCTGGCGAAGGCAGAAGCCCAAGAAAGAAACCCTGATTGCCATTGTCCACATGTTGGCTTTGTCGGCTCCACTGTTTCGACTGTATTTCCCTTCCTTCATTTGGGGACTTTCTGGTTTTGCTTGGCTTGCTTATCAGGTTTCAAGATGAGCTGCATATAGGGCAGCTGCGAAAATGTGCTGTGGGACTGTGCCCAGCTGCCTTTTGTATTCGAGTACGATTTCTAACGGAGTGGTATAGTTCCGAATGTTACAATCGTATGTAAGCAACCATGAACGCCTGTTTGGTACCCTTACGCATGCCTTGGCGCTGACCTCAGGAAATTCCTATATCCATGGATATATAGAGAGAACACATGCTCCTCCGCCTTCCCGAATATGTGGGATTGAGCGACTCTTTCCCACAGCATGGAAAGGTGTTAATGCTAGGGTGTGCACAGTACTGTCGTTCAGCATGGAGGGAATGCTGTTGCACAGCCATCCCATAAAGGACAGTGTGCACAAACAAACATGCACGCAGGCAAATACTGGGTTATTCCCCCCAACATGCCAGCACATCAGACAGAATGCATTCTATTACATTGTCTCCCATTGCAACTCATTATTGTGGACCTGGCCTCGACCAGGTCCAGGAGACTTGCCTGTAACCATGGGCCTTGCTCCGAGGATGACTGCGCCATTCTCTCCTGCAGTATTTCTGTGTGAATTTGAGCAATGGCAATGACCATGGCCTCCAAATGCCACCACCACCAATTGTTCTGCTTGCCACCCGGTGCCCATTGCTGCATGTCAGCAGCATGCCTGGACAGCCTAGCAGCTGCAATGCCCTATTGACTGCTGCTCGCTCGCGGGCCTGGCAATGCAATTTCCCCTGCTATGTGCACTTCCTCGATCCGTCTGCTGCCCATCGCCAGGAGTACACAACGCTGCCTGCTCTTCCGAGCCAGCAGCACCTCAACGGTCCACTGAGTTTCTGCTTGCCCATTGGTCTTGAAGATGCACAAGGCCACAGTGCTTGCACTAGCAGTCGGTACAGCACACACAGGAGTGCACCATGCAGAATGTTTTGCTACAATTACAAGGCCCATGAGCTTGGGACTGTGGAGCCCACCTTCCATGTAATAATGTGCACTAAATTGTGGCCATGTTAAGTTTGTTCCCCATTGAGTGGCACGCCAGACCTGACCCACACAATTCTAGAAAAATCTGCCACAGGACAGTAAAGAGGAGGAAGAACAATAGCACGTACCCTGTGAGAAACTGAAGTAGACTCAACTGGCTTTCATGCACTACCTGTAACGGCACCAGCGGGGAACATTCCTAGTTTTCACACTTCCTTCTTGTGCCTTTTTTCCATTTGCCGCCGCGATGGCGGCGCTGGCTCCCCGAAAAAGCCCTGGACAAACGTGCGCCCTTATTTTGATGCGTCAGTGCTGTAATCAATTTCATTCTTGCGTTTTCAAAATAAAGCACATATTTGACCCTAGAGTCATAAATTTGAGAGACACGGCATGCCCACAGAGTGCACAAAGCAACTGTCCACGCTTCCGACACCATGTACGATTGCGATAAGTGACTTGCCGTATTTGCCTT